GTAAGCAGGACTTAGAGTTGAGATATTGAATTTGGAAATGCAAAAGTGAGCAGAATAACTTAGAACTGACATTTTTCCTAGGATACGACAGCTTGTGCAATAAATAGATGGCACAGATCCCTGTGCAGAGCTGCCAGGATCCAGGTGTGCATAGGACGGTAATCAGCGTGCCTGGTTGTCACTTTAAAGCAAAGCTGGCCAAATACAAGAGAGATTCTGGTGCTTTTCTTGCAATGAATTCTTCACTTACGCTGGAGACAGCTGGAGTTTGATCTGGAGAAGGAGCAATGACTGACTGAGGGTCTCAGGGTTTGATCATGCATTCTAAGAATAATAGTAATAATAAAAAGCAGCCCGTCGGAGTGTGTGCTGCTGTAGCAGCTCCTCGGGGAGCTGCCTGAGGAGGCTCAGGCAAGCTGGGCAAGTAATTTCAGTGGAGGCATCCCGGTGTCACAGTCACAGCAGATGCAAGAGGGACAGCACCGGCAAGAGGAATGTTTTTTTTTTCTAGGCAGCTCTGCCAAGGTGCGGATTTGGTCTCCAAGATCTCAACCTTTGGCCTCTCCTTTTAATGCCCTTAAGCAAGTACTGAAAGGAGAAGTTTCCTAGCAAGCACCCAGAGAAACAAACGGAGATCACCTGCCAGTTTGGAAGTCCTATCTCTCACAGCCTGGCCACATACTGAACTAGTGACCTAGAGCTAAAGAGCTGCTTAGATCCTCGCTCCTCACCCAGCCAGTCCTTGCCCATCTTGTGGCTGTAAGTGAAACAAAGCTGTGCATGTTAATTCATCACCCAGATCTTCTTCTGGGAGCATGTGCCAAGGCTTTTCTGTCCGGTTAGAGGTAGGCTGAAGAGTTGCTGGCCTGATTATCACCAGGGAGCAAAGTGGGACACCCACACAGGTTAAAAAGGTGGCCCAAAGCAGCCTCATCTTGTGCCCTTGCCATCACTGTTGCAGGAACAAGGAGGGGCCTCAGACCGGCCACAGGCTGTCGATCAGCTTGAATCAGGCTCCATCAGTGGGTGAGGAGGAAGGTTTGTGCCTGTGGCTGCTGTGACTCTGCATGTGGGAACTGGGCAGAGGGTGGGAACTGTTCCACACACCCCCATGGGTACCCACCCCATCCAGGCAGGTTGAGGACAGAGGGATGCACAGCGCGGTGAGCAGCTGCTCTCTGCTTTGCTACTCGGATGACGAGACTTTCTGTAAGCACGCTGCGGTTTGAATAAAATGGAAAGAGGCTTTTAAAATTAAGTGCAAGCAAACTGATGAGTAAAGCTTCACCTTGAAGTGAGAAATCGTGCTGTTTTGCCTCCTAAAGGCTGAAATGAGACAATTCAGTGTTTGGAAAAAAAAAAAACCACATGTCCAGAAGGATTCTTAAATTTCTGGGTGGATTTGCAAATAGTTTGGGTAAACACAAACGTCATCCCTTTCTGGCAAAGATGCTACGCAGCTGAAAACCTTGCGTGGCGCCAGCTGTAGTCTGCTGCCTGTTTCAGCCACCAGAGTGGGCACCCGGCCTTTCCTCGCTGGTGGGAGCACCGTGGGCGCTGGCACCTCTGTCCTGGCCCGTTTTGGATGCCCTGCTGTGGTATATTTACAGCTATACTTTCTTGGAGTCTTGAGGCATTGCTAAATGCTCCCTGGCTTAAATTAGCAAAAAGGTGGAGTTTTGACTTCTGCTGACTGGAGTTCAGCTGGTGAAATCCAGTCTGTGGGGCACCGAATGCCTGGGAGATGGGAGGATTTAGGACTTCAGGATGGTGAAAGAGCTTCTGGTCTCACCTCACAGAGAAGAAAGAGCTAGCAAATAGGGTGCAGGTGTAGGGCATGGTCTGAGGTAGCAAGCACATGGACATGTGTACACACACATCCCTTTCACAATCATTTCAAATTCTGTTTATGCAAAAATCAACTCCTGGATCTTTGACAGGTCATAGGTTTCTACAAGGAGGAATAAATAGGGTGCAATAGTTATTTTGTGGCTATCATTAACCAAGAAATTAATCTACATCTTGAAGGAGGCAGCTCCTTCTTTGGACCTCACTGGCTGCTCTGGCTCCCCTGTTTATATTCAGCAGACTCTCGTGGTTGAGTTGCTGTTTGGTTTCAGGAACAGGAGAGCTGTTTGATGTTTGGTATCAGCATGGCTGATGCCCCGTAAAGTTTCATGCAGAGCTGGGGCACATGCTGCTTGTGAACTGCTCAGAGCCTTGCTTTTACCTGTGGACTTGGAATAATATTCCCTTATTGTAGCCTGCACGGAGTGGTGATGGATGCGGAAATTTGAAGGAGCCTGGGGTAGAAAATGAAAGGCTTGAAGGAAACATGTCATAATTCAAAAATGACCCAGTATTGACAGAAAGGTCACCTGCAGTCATTCCCTGGCTTGCGGATGTCTTCTTTTCTCTTGGCTTTGTTGTGCCGATTTGACAAATGCACTAGAAAGCTCCTGCTGAGAGCACAGCACAAGCTTCAAAGATGAAATGAGACTGTGCAGGCCAGGGCCGAGGCTGTGTGTCCTCCTGGGGAGGCAGGGAACCCTCGTTCCCTGCCTTGAGCCCAGCTCACCTCCCGGGGCACGGCAGGACCTCTGGCATGGCCCCGCTTTCACAGCACGTTGCTCACACTGCTTTCAGGGTGCTTGTTGCACCTGTGGGGACATGGTAGGCTTTTTGCAAATACTTTCTGTGAGACACACTGGTTGTGGTGGGCATGGAGAGGTTAATCAGAGCAGTACCACTGTGGACAGAGCGGCTCGACTGATACACACTGCAGACAGATCTGCTCCCATGTCTTGTGGTAACTCTCCTGCACTGTCCTCATTGGTGTGTGAAGCCTGGATGAGTTGAGCTTTGCAAACTACCCTCTCATTTTGACTATCTGATTTTAGAAAAGATAGACTGTGTTTTCTAAAGGCTTAGCCCGCAGTAGCTTTACTTCACAACAATGGGAGCTGCTCGTGCTGAGCTGGTCTTGAGTGTTTCTGGCTGTTTTTGAGCAAGGAGAAGTTAAAATTCCAGTTTCAAAGAAAAGAAGGCCAAATTTTACATTCTGACCCATGATGAACACCTGACTATGTAAGTGGAGAATTAGTTCATGAATAAAGCAAGCCTCTTCACCTCCCATGCATGGGGTCCCCCTTCCTTAAGGGAGGGGTGAATGATGCTTTCCTGTCTCTAACGGGCTTCGATTAGCATGGCTCCAGGCTGAGGAGGGTCTGCAGACCAACAAGTACTGTCAATGCAGGGAACAGCCAAATGTAATGGTATTTCTGCCCCTTTGAAATCAGAAAGGGGCTAATCCTGAAGTAGGACTTGCTGCTGAGTGTCGTGTGCTGTGCTGCAAGCAGGGTGCAGGCAAGGTGCCCCGACCTGCAGGACCGCTGCGGTGGTGTGCGGGCAGGCGGTTGGGGACAAAAAGTGAGGCGCTTCCCGTTTCTGCAACAGTTCAACATTAAAACTGCGTGCACAAGAGTGCTCTTTCACAATGTGTGCATTCTTCCCCATACATAATGAACTTTAAGCCCATGCATGACAGGCAATTTCTTTTCCGAGTGTATCACCCAGGGAGGCTGGAAGCAGAGCTTTCACTGTCCCCGTGAGCAATGACCATTTAAATGCCTTGAAGGGGAATAGATGGTTAAAACCTAAATTCGATTCCTGTATAAGCAAACAGAGTTCCCTGCCAAATGGCATATCACACTGCAGTTCTGCATTTACTCCTAAGCATTAATATGTTTCTAATTCTGTAACTTGGTTAGAGTTGTGTTGGCATTGCATCGTTGTATCGTTGCTAATGAGGTAACGGGGCTAATGCAAGCAGAGGGCTCCTGTACGGATGTTGGCAGCATCCCAGAGAAGGTACTTTTAGAGTCGCTGGAGAAGCGCCAGACATCACGGAGGATATATTTATATCATCAGCGAAAGCAGGCCAGGCAAAGTGTTCTGGGTGTAGGCAGGACTATCTTCACTTTTTGTAGCAGTACAGCAAAATCATCTCCTGTGAACAGAACAAATGATCTCACTAATAGGGAACTTCTGCTTTTATAACAGAATATTAGGGACTTCAGAGAGCACAGCTTTCCCACTGGAAATCGTGTCTCTTCACCCTCCGTCCTCTCCCTCTGTCCTTGCTCTTAGACTTGGTAACGTAGGTCTGGTCCCTCAGGCTGGATGTTGCAGTTTGTCGGTGGATGCCCTGCAAATAACAACATCAGAGGTTCCTGATTCCTCCTTGGAGGAGGGCAGAGGGCAGATACACTTGTCCGGGACAGAGGATGCTCCCTCACGTGGGGGCTGATGTATTTGGGGTCAGTGCCTTCGGGGGATGCTGAGTGTTCCCTGACTGTGGCACTGTCACATGTGCCCATCTTGTTAACATGAACCATGGCGTAACTCCACTACAGACACCTGTGTGAATGGAGAATCAAGTCCAATGCGTACATGTGAGTGTAGAATAAATGTGAATATGACCGAAACCAGGACAAACACCCCTGGATATGCCTCATCCAACTTGTCCAATCCTACCCCAAATTCATACTGGATCGCATATCACAAACATCAGCTGCTTTGTCTTTATTTTGTTGTTTTCAGTCCTCATACAACTACAAATTTAGCATTACTGCTAAAGAAAAGAAAAAGCAAACTACAACCATTCATGGGATAACATATTTTTAACTGCTGTGAGACAGCTGATACTATTAGAAAACACGGCCGTGTTATAGGCTCTCATTATTGATGGCTACTTGAGGAGACATACACTATAAAATATAAAGATAAAAAGCAAAAGGCTATTTAGATAGATGTTTAGCTGAATGTTTCTAGCATCAAATCAATGGCACTGGAGAAAATGAGAACAGACATACGGCACAGCCTCTGAACTAAATGTGTGCACATTATGGATCTGCTAAGGCTTTGCCTTTACAATGTACACTTTAAATCAAAGCAACACTGAAGTCAATATTGATTGTTCTTGGAGATATATTTTACCTTCAGGCACTGCTGTTTCCCAAAGGCGCGTGAGCAAGGACGTAAGTCTCTGTGCAGTGCTGACTGCTCGTGGACAGGGATCTCCCCGAAATCCTCTGGAACCGATTCCTCCTCTGGAAGTACCCACTGCTGCTGCTAAGGGACCGCTGTCTGTTCTTCAGGTACTCCCGGTAGTTTTTGGTGAGCAGGGTGTAGAGGAAGGGGTTGATACAGCTGTTGCTGTAGGTCAGACAGGTTGTCAGATAATTAATGTTCTTCATCACCTTGGGAGATAAAGGGAAGGATTCGTAATACTGGAAGAGGAGCTGCCATATCCAGAAAGGCAAGAAGCAAGCCCAAAACACCAGCACTATTGTGAAGATTAAATAGAGCACCTTTTGATTCGGCAGCCGCTTGGTCTGCTTGAAGGATGCTGTTTGCGACACCCAGTAAATCTTTGCTAATCGGATGTAAAGGTAGCCAATGATTACCCCTGGGCCCACGATGCTGGTACCAAAAAGGATGGTGAGATAGACTTTGTAGGACAGCTTGCTCCAAGTGGGCAGGCAGATGCTTTTGTTGTCCCTTTGCACAAGCTGGATCATGATGAGCATTGGGAGAGTGAGCAGCAGTGATACCAGCCAGATGACAACAGCAATGGCCTTTCGGTAACTCTTGGACCTCTTCACTGTGTCCAGGGGCTTCAGCACAGCAAAGTAGCGCTCTGTGCTCATGACTGTAAGGGTGAAGATGCTGGCGTGCATGGTGAGGAAGTCCAGACTGAACAGGATGCGGCAGCCAATGTCCCCAAAGTACCATTTCTGAATGAAGTAGGTCCCAACGATGAAGGGGATGGTGAGAAGGTAGAGCAGGTCTGCCAGTGCAAGGTTGATGATGTAAATATACATGGAGGCAGATGATCGCAGGTAATGGCACATCACCAGCAAGGTGTAGACGTTGCCTGTCACCCCAATCACACACATGAGGGAGAGGATCGTCCCGATGGTGCAGATGGCGATCATGTCCTCCATGGAACCGGTGGCCAGCACACTGTCCCCGGTGGCATTGATGGAGGTGTTGGGTCTGATTCTGAACAGGCTGCCCTCGCTTGCGTCTGTCACCGTGTAGGGGGTTGCAGAAAAATGGCTCTCCAGCTCGTCGGTTAGGGACATCCTCCTGGCCCTTAAATGCCAGAGGCTTTGTTCAGGCCACTGGGGTCTGCAGATCTGTTCCTTCTGCACTGAGAAATGTGACTGCTGGGAGACGGTGAACCATTTCTTAGCGGTGTCTCATCCAAGGAAGATCTGCATTCTCCACTAGAGAAAAGACATGAGAATCCAACATATTAGAAATCTGCCAGAGCAACACAAATTATCATTCAGAAGTTACCTGTGGCTGAGTACATATCTGCACTTTCGGCACATATCAAACGTCTTCTGCACTGAGGTCACTCACTTGTAAGGTTCATGCCATCATTACAAGAGCACAGCTTTGAGGGGTGGCATTTCTTAGTGTATGCATGGAAAAGAGACAAAAGAGGTTGTGCAGACCACTGGAACCACTTGCTGCAATCCTTAAAGTTAGTTTGGGGTTGGGGGAAGAAAGCATCCTCCCCAAATTCATAACAGCGACATTTGTAGAGCTATCAGCATGATTTCTTAAACCTCTTTGCTGAGCTCTTAATTCTGAAGAAGTAAAAGACCCCCAAAAAAGGAAAACAATCTTTGGATTTACCACCTGCAGACAAATTTTTTTCTATTTTGTGTAAGTGATACACTCTAAGTCCTGTCCAGCATTTCTGCAGTGTTTTCACAGAGCAACTTTCCTTGAATGAGAAGCTCGTGCTGTGTCCTGACCTGCAGTTTCAAATTGTAGTTGAGTGATGGATAAAAAAGGCATTTTCTATCTATAGAGCAAGGTGTAGGTTTCACTGTGGGTTTTATATGTCTGTAAACACAGGGGTTTTTCATGCTGTCAAGTGTGATCCCATGGATTTTCATGTCTCCATGCATAGATATATTTCAGACAGACCTGTCTGTGAACCTTTCTAAGCAGCCTTATTCAGCGAGGTGTGAGATTGCTCCGCGGCGTGTTAGGCAGGTAGTCACTCTGTACACAGGAGCTTTTGGTTAGCTCAAGCCCAATGAGATACAAATCATGACAGCCTTGCTTAGAATTTATACTGGCTCTGGGTGTAGGCAAAGGGAGACCAAACCCACCTGAGAGAAACACTGAAGAAGTAGCCAAAATGCCCGAATTTGAAGGCATACTAGAAGCCTGTGCCAATCTGGAGGTCACTGTGCACCGAAGTGCGTCTGCTACACGTTTTACGGAGCTCGGATTGTCTCTTCATTTGAAAACCGCTGCGAGAGGGGCTGCTGGACTGCCTTGTCCTTGCTGGGCTCAGCAGGCAAAGACTTCCCTTGCCTCATTCCACTGGGCAGGTTGAGTTTGTTTTATCCTGCGTATTTGCTAAATTTTGTGGCTGTTCTCGGTGAGTTTGGTGTCCCTTTGCCTTTACACCAGCTCGGACTCCTTTGCCCTTTTCCTCCCCCTTGCTCCTTGGAAGCAGGATTGCAGCACCAAGCCCTCCTCCGCTACCCTTGTGTCAAAGACCTCGACAGTGACCTCTGTAGCACTAGAGGATGGACAATGTTCATCCTCTTCAAGACTTGCCCTCATCTTCTCCCCATTACCACATGCTGTGGGTGATGGGTGCTATGGAGATGTCATGTAAAAACTCTGTACAAACAAGAGCAGTCCAGTCCAGAGGGAGATTTCTCCTCACTTAACAATAGGGATAGGGGTGGAAAAAAATAAAAAAAATAAGAGAAAAAACACAATACACAGAGCCTATCTTCCACCCAATTTCCTTGGGTACAGACATGCAAGGGGAAGAGATGAAGCGTGGTCCTGCAGTGGTTAGTGCTCCTTTGGGATGTCGTTCCTCTGGGCTGGTCTCCAGCAGCTTCACCAGCATCCCGGCTTTCCTGGACCTTGCAAACCCAAATCCGCCTCCTCCCTCCCCTGCTGTGCTGTGCAGTCCCCTCCCGCTTGGCTTTGGACATGTGTAGCCAGCCTGTCCACGCACCAACTTGTTCCCTCATCATCTGCTTTATGGATGTTCACGTACAAGCTGTGCTGGCAGCAAAAGCATCACATGTGAAGGAGATGCAGATGTTCAGGGAGCTCTGCCTGCTCCTCTGCCCCACGATCGCCAGCACACTTGGTTGGAAACAAATGGCTCTGCATGGGATGTTCCAGCTAAGCCCGGAGCTGGCCACACACACAGCTATCAAGCTCAGCTGGATTTGTGATAGCTCCTTTTCAGGAGCATGTTTCCATGGCCCAGGTGCTGTCTTCTCGCAGCTGCCTCACACTGTGCTCCGGGGACTTGTAGCAGATCTTGCCGTGCCTGTGCACGTCTGTGCGGTTCCCTGGTGCGACAGCTCCTGCCCGAGAGAGCTCAGCACACCGCATCTCCCCGCTCTGCTTCTCTTCCACTGAACCTGCATTAGGCTTCATTCATAAAAATCCTACAGCACTAACTCAGCTCAGACACTTCACCTGTCTCCAGACAGCCCACAGCTAGGCAAGTCCTCGCTCCTAGAGGAGGAAAATTATGCAAACTGGGGAAACCTTGCATCGTTTTAAAGTCACTGTCATTACTGCACTCGGACTTAAATGCACACACTCACACACATGCACACACAATAGAGACCTTGTTATTCCAGGCAGCCATTCAAGCATCTTACGGTCTAAGCAATTTTCTCAGCCAGTCCCGCCTTTCCCTCTACATTATCATCACACAGGAGTACCATGCACTTTCCAGGAGCTGCAAACGTAAATGGATTCCTCCTGTTCAAACCTTGCTTTTAAATCCAGCAGATGAAGTTTCCTAAAAGATGTAAAATAAAAATGAATCTAGTAGTATTAAAGCTGAAGCCTAAAAAAGAAAAAAAAAAGGGGAAAAAAGAAAAAAAGTGAATCCTTCTTCATGGGCAGACAGCGAGAGATCCCCGTGCTCCGTCGCATCTGGAAGGACAGCGGCAGGAAGGGAGCGTGCTACCTAGCCAAGTATGTTTGAAATCTGTGCGCTCTTCATACTCTCATTCTCCTCCCTTCACTCACGCCTGCTATTTCTGTTGCTCGGTGACGTTAGGCATAGCGTGGCTTTGGCTGCAGCCAGCGAAGCGCCTTTTTAAAGAAGCAGCATTTTGATATCTGGGACTCGCTGAGCCATCTCCCACCGCCTGGCTGTGAGCCAGCTGGGGATGCGAGATAGCCAGGCTGTTTGCATCCCAGGGCTGGTGATACGAAAAGCCATCCCGCCCCTCCTTACATCGCACCGAAGAGCTCAAATGCCCAGGGTTGCCTGAGCAAAACCGTTGTGTCGGAGGAGAGCGGTCGGGCCAGGGAGGGTTAAATTCCTGCGGGAGGGTCGGCTGCCCAGGGAAACGGCAGAGCTCCTCGATTCGTTGATCAATTCCAAAGTGAAGCCAAAGTTTATTTGGGTTGGACGGCGTATTACCAGACAAATCTGTGCGGTGGTATCATGCACCACAGCATCTGAGATATTTCAGGCTGGCGGTAACAAAATGTTATTCAGGTTGTTTGGGGTTCAGCTGGTTGCCTTTCCCCAGCGATACTCAAGGAGGGTAAAGACAGAGCAAGCTAGAAAAAATTCAGCGTGAGGAAGGGGCTGGTGCTGAGAAATGCCAAAGCTAAACTCAGGATTATTTTGATAGCAGTTGAATATTGTGTTGGTTGCACACGATGGGGTTACTCTTCCTCCCAGTTCCCTGCTTTAGCTCTGTGGATCGCAGGGAACTGCTTTTGATTTATGCTGGTGGGAAGTGAGGAGCACCCACCTCTCCTGGGGTCTCTCCAGCTAGACATGGGTGTGTGGGAGATGTCTGACAGGCTCATTGCGTGCTTCACCGGTTTGCATTTGGGCAACCACTGTGATTAGGTGATGCTTCCCAGCCCCATCTCATCCAGCTTGCACCACTGATACTAACTGGGAGCTGTTTCCTCCCCTCACTCCTTCCCTGGCTATTTGTATAATTTCTTCTTTGTTCTCAACTGTTTACACTCTGCTGTCTGGGTGCTTTCAGACGCATCTTGTGTCTAAGGTCTTGTCTTCCTGCAGTGTGAACCTAATTTTGCTCGAGCCACAAGGGATGACTGTGGTAGCACCTGGGAAGATTGGTGAACACTGGTTGTGTCTGTCCCCGTAACAGGGCAATGGGTGTGCAAAGCAAGTCCCCTCTGAGGTATGTGCTTTGGAGTGTGATGAGGACTCGGGTTAGGAGCAAATCCTCATGTGGAGGCTTAATTTTGCAACGAAAATAGATTTTATGTTAGCAGCTCTAACAAGGGCTGGCTTGTTCCACTTTCAATGGTGCCCAGTGACAGGACAAGGGGCAATGGGCACAAAATGAAGCAGAGGAAGTTCCGTCTGAACGTGAGGAAGAACTTCTTCCCTCTGAGGGTGACGGAGGCCTGGCCCAGGCTGCCCAGGGAGGTTGTGGAGTCTCCTTCTCTGGAGATACTCAAGTCCCACCTGGACGCAGTGCTGTGCAGCCTCCTCTGGGTGACCCTGCTTCAGCAGTGGGTTGGGCTGGGTGACCCACAGAGGTCCCTTCCACCCCCGAACATTCTGTGCTTCTGTGATTCTGTGAGCTCTAAAACCTCAACCCAAGCATCCTCAAATGTACGTGTTTTGCTATAAATATTTGCTCTAAATCTGTATTTTGTGGCTGACCCCGAAACATCTTTGGAAAAGTTTGGGCTGGAAGCTGCTTCTCACGCTGCTCTCTGGGCGAGGTGGAGTTGCCCATGGACTGCGTGACTCCAGTGAGCTGCAGCGGTCCCTTGGCAATCCCTGATGGCCAAGCTGGTGGCAAAGTGTTTATTTGTGGGTGGCCCACTGGGAGTGGGACGGTCGTTCATGTGACAGTCTCCTCTTCACATACAGAGCACGGACAACACGCTGGTGTTCTTGACTCCCCTTGCTGCTGTCTGCATGCAACTCAAAGGGCACATTGGCACAAGCCCGGTGCGAACGCAGCGATGCTGCCCGGGGAGGTGGGTGCCTCTGCTGGGCATGGCTCAGCCATGCTGTGTCCATCCCCAGCGTTTGGTAGGTGCGTGCGGGTCTCTCTTGAGG